AAGACTACTGTATTTACAGATTATCTTGATAAATGTGGCACTTGCAATTCTATGTATTTGTGTCTGTGGTCTTGTTAGTGTGACACTAGAGATACATCGCAGTCATCTTCACTACTCTGGTTAATTCTGTAGCACTAGTGCCCCTGTTGTTGCAAAGTCATATGGATTCCTACACATGTTGACCGAACCACACACTAGAAAGTGAAGGGATGATGACGTTTCAGTCCGTCCTGGACCATTCTCAAGTTGATTGTGATGAGGGAAGGAGTGGAAGGCAATAAATAGGCAAGAGAGAGGTGAAGAGGAGAAAATCTTAAGAGGAAGAAAAAGCAATTTTTTGTTTATTTTTTGTCTTTCCCCTCCTTCCCTTATTGAAAAAAGTTACAGCCCCGCTCCTGTGCCAGATAAGTCCACAACGGGCTCACCATAGCCCGTGCTACTTGGAATTTTTGTTCCAAGTAGCGAATCTTAAACAACAACAACTTCCCTCATCACAATCGACTTGAGAATGGTCCGGGACGGACCAAAACGTCATCGTCTCTTCTCTTTCTAGTGTGTGGTCTGGTCAACATATTTCAGCCACGCTGTTGTGACTCCTCGTTTGCATTCCTACACATATTTGTAGCTATTTTAAAACTAGGCATTAGGGAATATTTCCAGAAAAGGCATGCATTGATGGCTGAAGGTTTGGGTCTCCTAATGGGACTATTATGTACTTTGAAGGTGATCCTAATAACGATCTATCTGGATCCTAAACCACAAACTTGGCAAATTATATCCTACAGCATTTATTTAAACTATTCCTTACATGTACATTATTGCATCAAATTCTCACTTGCATAATCATATTCATTAGTATAGTATAGTGTACACATTTATATATGCACACTTGTATATAAATGTATATATACATATATATATGTATAGATTTCACACTGTCAATAACTTTCTAGCCTCTTCTCAACCCTACCTCCTCTCAACTTTCCCTTTCCTTTCTGTCCTATTTCATTCTCGCCATTTTCTCTCTTTCCTTTTTCCTCCACCCCCTCCCTCCCTCCCTCCCTCTTCAGTTCCTCTCCTCATCTTCTATTTTCTCTCTCCTTTCCCTCCCCCTCCCATTATAAGTTTCTTCTATTTCTCTCTCTCTCTCTCTCCTCTTTTAATTCTTTCTTCTCCCATTTCCTTTCCAGTCTACCCTACCATTCATTGCCTTTTTGTTTTGTTCTCCCAAGCCCTTTCCTCCCCTCCATCTTCCTTTTACCAATCCCTCATATTTTGTTGACGTTCCTCACACTGTCTCCTTCCATTCCCTCCACCTCCATGTTTCCTGAGTTGTAGAGTGGTTGGTTGATTAGCTTTCTTGCCAGAAAAATTAAATTGAGTAAATTTATGCTTGTGTCCTATACATGCATAATAGAACTGCTAGTCTTGACAGTGATATGACTCTCAGCCACTTCCTCAGACTTGGTCACAAACGAACACACACAGACATGCATACACGCTCACACACAGTGCTAATTATTAACAAATGGTACTTTATTTGTACCTGCCTGTATATATATTAATATGGGTTAGAAGTAGCCCTTATATCTGCTACTGATGTCTTAAGAGCCTGTTCTAACCTTTTTAACATGCTAACATCTGGTAGTATTGGTGGTTGGGCTTTACTTTATGTTAATACCCTTAGAATTGTTCTAGAACATCACAGATTTTAATTTCTATTTTGCATGCAGCAAAAACAAGGAGCAGGAAAGGCTAAAGAAATTAGCTAGTCAGCAGTACCAAGATTTTCGGGATAAGCAGACTAGGTGAGATACTTTGTGTTGTAGTCTCCTCTCGTCCTACTAACCAAGTCAAAGGAGATGAAAATAATCAGTATAATTACTAATTGATAGTGTACTTAACAAATTTGGCTGTGGTTCCACATAGCCATTTATTTATATATTCTTTTGAATAAGGTGATTACATTTAGTCTGGCTTTTTAAGAATCTTGAAGGTACAACGTAGCAAAATGTGTAATGTAGAATTTGTTTATTTTCCTAATCCATGCATTATGACAGTAGACTTGAGTGAAGATGTCGTTTATTTATGTAAAGTTTGAAAAGCAGAGCATGCATATTTTCCTAATATATTAGACATATCCTCCCTGATATTTATCTGCAGTAATATGTGTAATTGAGCTGAAATCAAGAAATAACAGATAATCAAATAGTTCTATAAATGTATATACATGTTCCTGTGTCATTTATATTAAAGTAAATATATATGAAATATACAGATATATATTGGTACTGCTTATGGTTGTATAGCTGAGGACCTTTAGCTTGGAGAAGAGAATATATGGCATTTAAGGAAGCCTTGCATTGCTTTCATTTATGCAAGTTATCCAGTATTCTACCACCCCTTATATTTTGGTTGTAACTTTATTATACAAGATTGGTTACACATATTGGTACAAAGTTAAATGTTAAAAGGTTGTAGGTCTCCTCAAACTCCTTGGATTCTGGGTAGGAAATGAGGAGGCATATTCTATTTTTCCTCTGTATTGCAACAATAAGGTTAACTTACCTACCTTGTGATTACCGTGTGTTGGTTTCAAGGATCAATGTTCCCGCTGCCCATTCTCTGACTAGGCCTCCTGGTTGGTGATCTGATCAACCAGATTGTTAGATGCGGCTGTTTGCAGCCTGGCGTATAAATTACAGCCTGGTTGATCAGGTATCCTCTGGAAGTGTTTGTCGAGTTCTCATTTGAACACTGTGAGAGGTCAGCCAGTTATGCCCCTTACGTGTAATGGGAGCATATTGAAAAATCTTTTCCCTTTGATGTTGATAGTTCTTTCACAGAGTGCCTATTACACATATGCTTTTCAATGGAGCTATTACACATCCTGCCATGCCTCTTGGTCTCATGTGATGGTATTTCTTCCATGTGCAGATTTGGAACCAGTCCCTCTAATATTTTCAAAGTTTAGATTATTATGTATCTCTCTCACCTATGCTCTAGAAAATACAGATTTAAATGTTTTAATTAGTCCCAATAATTTATTTATTTAATTTTTTTTAATTATAGCAGTAAAGGATTTTTGCATGTTCTCCAGGTTAACAATTTTCCCAGCTTTGAAAGGAGCTGTAATTGTGTAACAGTATTCCACACTAGAGAGCACTAGTGTCTTGAAGAGTATCATCATTGATGTGGTATCTCTTGTTTGAAAGGTTCTTGTTAACCAACCAGTCCTTTCTTTCAGTTGTGACAGCTACTTTGTTTTTTTTGTTTTTGTTTTAAAAGTAAGGTGATCTCTGGTGTGTTGTTTGGTTTTCATATTCTCAGCTACGTTAGTGTGACTGATCGTCTTCATATTTTAAATACTTTTTCTTAATACTTTTTCCCAGATCTTTTACATTGCTCTTTCATTTTATAGTGTGATTTGACTGCATTTTATATGTGGTTTCCAGTTTTATATTTAATTTTTTCCATTGTGCAGGAGCTGGAACTAATTTTCATTAAGCATCATAATAGTTTCTGTGATCCATAAAAGACCTGATTTACATGAGATGGGGGGTTTGCTGTGTTCTATATTGTCTGCTCTCATAAAAATCCTAGTGTCATCTGCAAAGGATTGAAATTTAAATACGTTTATTGAGGTATAAATACACACAAAGGAATGGGTAACTCGAGCTATTCTCACTCGCTCAGTATAATGTTTACACATATATACAAGTATATATATATACAAGTATAATATTTACACACACACACACGCATATATATATATATATACAGTGGTACCTCGCATAACGATTGCCCCAAAAGACGAATATTTTGGGTAACGAACGGCCCGATCGGCGTCAAATCGTCCCTTATGACGAACGCTGGTTTGAGTAACGTCAACACCACATGGTGGGGTCGCGCTGCTTCTTGCACATTCTTAGACGCCTCCGACGATGCACATAAATTATGTTGTTCTTGTTTAAAGATGCTAATGATGCTGGGATATAAAAGGGTGACTACTGAGATGTTGCAAAGCATTGACGTTTTTGTAGGAAAAAAGAAATGAAATGTCTGATATACAACAAATGTCAAAAAGGTTCGGTGTTCGGCAGGTAGGCTGCTCCATTATAACAATCTTTCTTTGTTTCAAATGTGTTCCATTTGTTTTTTATTTGTCATTTGCGTCTCAATAATGGAGAAGCCTACCTTACATACACTGAATAAACCATTATGACATTTTCCTTTCTTCAAATGTGTTCAATATTTATTTTTCATTTGCCTTATAGCAAAAGGTTCGTTCGGTGGTCGGCAGGTAGGCTGCTCCATGTTTCTTACATACAAAAAACGTAAATAATAAAAAGAATGAAGAATTTTGAAAACCAGTACAAATGTCAAAAAGGTTCGTTCGGTGGTCTACAGGTCGGCTGCTCCATGTTTCTTAAAAAAAAAAAAAACGCAAAATAAAAGAACTGTTGAAACAATTTGAAAAATGGACAAATGTCATAAAGGTTCGTTCAGTGTTTGTCGGGTAGGCTGCTCCATTATTGAGACGTAAGTGACAAATACAAAACAAATGGAACACATTTGAAACAAAGAAAGATTGTCATAATGGAGCAGCCTACCCAACAAAAACTGAACGAACCTTTTGCCATACCGAATATGAAAGACAAGGGCTGCTGGCTGGGTTAGTACTGCGTGAGCAACCATTTGTGGCACACGTGCCTCTGGCTCTCAAACACCTGTCCCACACGGTGTTGAAAGACTGTGCTCAGTCGGTGCAATTCAGACCCTTTTGTTTGAAGAACATAAGGGTCATAACATTGGTGAAGCTAGGCGCAATAAGGGCTTAACACAACGGTCGGATGCCAGTGATACAGCAAGCGTATCCAGGTGTAGCTCTGAGCCCCACCCTTGCCATCTCTAATGTATATAGATGATACATAGATGAATCGTTTTCTGCGTTCAGTGATGATGCATCTGATACAAGTAGCATAGATTAACAGTGTTAGCGGCTTCCATGGTGGTGGTGTTCATTGATATTTTCAAGAATACCTGAATCTTTTCCTGACTGATGGACACTCTTTGAGGCTAGCTGAATCTCTTCCTGACTGATGGACACTCTTTGAGGCTAGCTGAATCTCTTCCGGTGTGGGACCTTACAAAGCGATCTTTTCAAGACTACCTTACAAATTGAGCTTTTCCTATAATCGTTTCAATACTACTTTATGCTTTACAAGCTTGGCTACATACCACCTACAAGTACTAAAGCCAAGGGTGCACGCAAGTGCGTTATTTGCAAGCACACATAACGATGAAACAGGAAGCAAAAATCTATCTGTAGCTGGTGCAAGGAGAGCAAAGTCGCGCTGTGTACCATGGACTACTTCGTTGACTATTATGCACCTCCAAGTACTGAGTGTGTAATACAGTGTGTTACTGTGTAAATAGTATGTGAAACTGTACATATTGTAATATTAGTGAATTATTACCACGTAATATTGTGACAATAAACATTTATTGTGGACACATTACTGACACATGTATCACAGTTTCATGGAAAATTATGAACATTCTACTGTATACATATTGTAAAGGTCACAAATATACATCATATACGATAAATGAAACAAATAAAACCGCATTGGAAATGCATAGAAAAAATATTTGAAAATATATTTGTGGCAACACGCGGTGCTTGAATGGCCTGCGCGACTGTGTCTGGGAGCTTCACACACGGGCGACCAGGCCCTGATGACGTCACAGCGCACCTTGTCCACGCCCTCACAGCCAAAGTAAGTGGAATTTGGTAATTATTTTTACATAGACATGTTCAGGGACGGTAATTTATCATTTTACAAAGAAAAATTTTATTTTGGGGAACATTTGATGTCATGCACTCTGGGGAAATTTCACAATAAACACAGTGCATCACACTGGTTACATGGGGAGACACTCGTTTTGTATGACGTCCGTTTCACATGACGAACATGGAACGGATTAAATTCGTTATGCGAGGTACCACTGTATATATATATATATATATATATAAATAATACTTACTGGGTTCTGCTTGTTAGGAAATTGTTGTTTCAATAAACATAGAACCTATGTCCTTGAGAAAGCTTTTGGCCCTTTTATCGCATAAGTCAAGCAGCTCCATTCCAATGGTGACATCCAAGTTGTGCTGATTGTCTAGTTCTCTGTACTTATGAGTCTTAAATAATTGTATGTGTGGAGCAGTGCTATGTTTTCCCATATTCACATCAGTGTAGTTATTAGCCAAGGTTGACACTTACAGTCCGACTCCATGATGCCTACCATCATCCCAAGGATGCACTGCAAAATTGCAGGACATTATACAATGAGGTTTTTCTTTTTTGCTGTACTCCCAACTGTGATGATGTACCTCTTAATGTCATTGATTTCTTGTTTCATGAATGCCACCCCCTTACTTTTACAGCACAGACAATGCAAATGCACCCATATTTCAGTGTGTACTGTATTGGGGCAGCAAGACTATAGGCTATTGCAACACACACACACACACACACACACACACAGTCTGCAGGTCAAGATGCATATCTGTTGCTAACATCTGAGTTTGCTAATCAAAAAATACCCTGCATGGGGGGGTTCTCATCATTAAGGAAAATAACCTTATATTGTGTTGTTGGAACTTTAAGACATATTGAAGATGATGCTTCCTATGACAGCATCATCCCAGTTTGATTTCTCATGGTTTATAGATGAGGCTGTGAGAGAGTCCCTCTACTTCACTAATCACTTAAACTGACACTCAGATCTGAGTGTTCCCCAC